GGGCGGGCCCTTGCCCCCCCCCCCCCGCCTGCCTTAAGAAAATAAACACTTGGGAGCCCCTCTGCCCACAGGCCCACAGCCCGCCCCTGCCCACCCGCACAAAGGGCCCGTGTGTGTCGGCTTCCTGAATGAGCCCTCAGTGCCGCCCCTCCGCCCGCCCGCCCCTCGCTGTCTCCGGCACCAAGACCTGTCCGGGCGAGGGGCAGCTCCCCGAGGCTGCCCAGCCAAAGCGGGCAAAAGGGACCAGCCGGTGGCATCTCTCTCAGAAACAGATGCCGGGTGCGGGGGTGGCTGCTCCCTTGGTGGTGGGGGTTGGCCCCCGGGGCCTGCCACCCGGGAAGAGCCGGCAGGGCCTCTGTATCGGCCAGGTGCGGGGAGGCAGGGCTGGTGGGGAGCCAAGTGCCCACAAACACCCAGGAAGCCGGAGAAGACAGGGCATCTTCGTGGAGGACACGGCCACGGGGGACTTCCACCGGCAGTGGGCCACGGGACAGAGCGGGCGGGGGGCGGTGCCTCTTTGCCTCACCCGCTGGCTTCCCAGAGGAACCGGAAGCTGGCCTCCCTCCTCGGGGGCCTCTTCTGCCCTGGACGTCTTCCCTCCCATTACCGTCCCCGGAAAACAGAGAGACGGGGGTCCTGAATGGCTGCAACCCTGCAGTGCCTGCAACCTCCCCACTGCAGCTGTTGCCACTAAGGGTCTCTGAGGGCGCAGCAGCGGGGGGGGGGCGGGGGAAGCGAGGGGGCAGGGAAGGCCCCGGAGGAAACAGGGCAGAAGCCAGCAGCCCTTGGGCCCAAGCGTGGGCTAGAACCTCCGCCCTCAACTGTGAGCACCCGCAGGGTGCCAAGGGCTCTGGAGCACCGATCCTGCCAGCCCTGCTTTTCCCAGCAGAAGAGGAAGAAGAGATAGACTGGATCTATACCCCATGGCCCTTCACTACCCAAAGGTGTCTCAGAGCGGCTTACAAACTCCTTTCCCTTCCCCTCCCCACAACAGACACCCCCCTTGAGGTCCGTGGGGAGTTATGGCTTGCCCAAGGTCATCCAGCCAGGTGCAAGTGGAGGAGGCGTGGGGAATCGGACCCGGCTCTCCCAGAGTAGAGTCCGCGCACTTCACCACGAGCTCGGCCAGCACGGGGAGCCTCCTCCTCCTCCTCCTCGGGCCCAGCAGCAGGACCAGGGAAGCAGCGGCTACCTTCCTCCTGAGGGGCGGGTGGCCCAGGAGGGCTCAGGCTCCGGCCTGGCTTCAGCCGCCTCTGTCTGGGACTGGAGACCACCGGGGCTGGCTGCTGCTGGGCAGAAGGCTATGCCCAGGGGGGGCTGCCTAAACAAGAGCCCCTTGCGACCTGAGAAGGGGGGGGGACAGGCTGCAGCCACCGGCAGGCGCCTTGCTTCAGCAGCCCAAGGGAGCAGGCAGGGAAGAGCTCACCCCCAACCCCACCGTGAGCACGCTGCTCACACGGCTTCAGGGGTTGGCTGCCCCTCGAGCCTTGGAAGAGCCCCCCCCCCCCCCCCAGTCTTCCCAGCAGCCTCCTTCCCACCACCAGGTACAGGAAGAGGGCCGCCTGCTCCCCTGGTAGGGAGGGAAGGAGGGAGGGAGGGGAGGCCGCACCCCCCCCCCCCACAAGACCTGCCCTGACTCCAGGCAGGCCCGGGAACAAAGGGGCCCCTTTCTCGGGCAGGGGAGGCAGAGCCGCAGCAAATGAGGTGTCTGACAGGGGCGCCAAGGACGGCCAGGGAGGGGGGGGGAGGAGAGCCCTGGGTTAGACTCCACCCCTTGCGATGGATGAGGAGGAGGAGGAGGAGGAGAAGGATGGGGGCTGCTAGTGCCCCGGGGAGGCCGGGCACCGCCCAGGGCAGAAGCTGCTCTCGCAGCACGCGAAGAGGCCCACTGAGGTAGGGCAGCTCAGGCCAAAAGAGCCCAGAAGCCCCTGGGGGACCGGCTGGCCCCTCTGGGAGTCAGGAGGAAGCCAGGCCAGGCCAGGCAGGGGGTGGGATGCGGACAGGAGGGGACCCAGCCCCCACTCAGCCGCCAAAGTGACTGGCAGGCACAGACCGGGTCGCCTCACCTCTCTGGACTGCTGGGCGCCGATGAGCTCTGCCAGTCCCATCTCTCCTTGCCCCCAAGGGGCTGGGTGGTGCCAAGTCCTCCCCCCCCCCGTAAGGCCTGGCCCATTTGGGTGGGGGAACGAGCGGCCCGGGCCTCCCCACCGGGCCAGAGGCGGCGTGCGCCACTCTTGTCACACAGGGAGACCATCACCCCCGAAGGCGAGTCCTTGCCCGGCGGCCCACCAGCCCCACAGAGCCTGCGTGCTCCCTTTCGGACGCCCGCCCGGGCAGCCGGTGCCAGGGGAAATTCTGCCCGCCCGGGGATCCCGCCAAGCCTTTTCCACGGGCCTCAACGGCCCTGCGCCTCACAAAAGGCGCCTTGTGTCCACACAGGGAGCAGAGCTCAAGTGGGGAAGCAAGAGGGTCCGCGCAGGCAGGCCCCCACTGCCGGCCTACGCTGCCTCCTGCTTCCGAGGCAAGAACCCCCCCACACACACACACACACCAGGGGCGGGGGGAGGAGGAAAGAAAACAAGCCCCCTTCCCTCCCTTTGGGGCAGGGCACTTCCGTCCCCCAATCTGTGCACCAGGGGGCAGAGAGCTCCAGGCCAGCAGACCGACCCCATAAGCAGCAGGTAAGCAAGAGGCCCTGGCTGTGGGACCCCCACCCCGCTGCTGTGTGAGACCCAAGTGCTTCCCCCCAGCCCTCAAGCACCCTGAACAGAGACCTTTATGTGGTGGTGGTGGTGGCAGTACTCTGGGGCCAGGTCAGTGACCACAAGCAGCAGCAACTGGGCAGGGGCTCGGACTCTCCCTCCAGAGCACACCGGCAGCCCTGAGCGCCCGACAGGCCGCCCAGCCCCTGACAATGAGGCCTTGTTCCCTCCAGAGGCCAGGGACCGCTCTCGCCAGGCGAGCGGCCCTGCAAGGCAGAGGGGAAGGGGGGAGAGCGACCCCAGGTGGAGCAGGGGAGGCAGGGCCCGGTGGGAGGCGAGGCCCCAGGCGAGGGCGTACCTTTCCCCTTGCTCTGCTGCAGGCTGGAGAGACTGACAGAGGCCGTGCCCAGGAGCTCGTTCCGGAGGGTGTGGCAGCTCCATAGCTTCACGTCGAGGTGGCTCTGGGCCGTGACGTTCCTGGAGACGGGCAGAGAAGAGGCCGGGCAGGTGACGCCGCAGCCAAGCAGAGGAGGCCGTGGCTGGCAGGGCGAGGCATTAAGGTGGCCCTTCCAAGTGCTTCCCAGGGTCTGCGCCTGGCTCGAGAATTCACAGACCTCAGAGTGGCCCCGGACAGGCACCGCCTTTCCTCCTCGTGGAGTCTGCCGCAGGCCGATCGGCAAGGCAAAGGTCCTTGAATTGCTGGCACAGACACCTCTGCCACACCCTCAAAGCTGCTGTGGCCTCCCCCTCCCCCTGCAACCCTTCCACTCTCACCCCCCCCACACCACCAGCTGTGACCTTTGCCCCTTGAGCTGCACCACCCTGAGCGACCCAACGGTTCCCCGCTGCCTGCAGCAGTGCCTGGAAGTGCCTTCTGGAACCCCAGCCACACGTCGCCTTGACCCCCCCCCACTTCAAACCCCCTCCCTCCTTGATGCCACAGTGCACTCCGCTCCACAGACACAGGCATCCTGCTTGCATCCCCCCACCCTCTGCCTCCCTCATGACAACGTCTAGCGCACCCCTTGGGCCAGGGACCTGCCCTGCCACCATCAGCCCTGCCAACGGAGAGCACCAACAATATTGTATGTGCCCTTGCCAGGCCTGGAGTAGAGGCCCACACATCAGCCTGCAGAATGTTCCACTTCCTGTTGCCACAGCTACACCCACTCTGGCCAGGGCTGAGGGCCAGGGCCCAAGGGAGACCCCAGTGCTCACACCCAGAACGCCAGCGCCACCCACCCCCCCCGGTTCTTACAGCGTAAGGCTTTCGTTCCAGAGCACCTCGGAGCCCCCAATCCGTTTCCCCGTTTTTTTGGTCTCGCTGCTGAGCCCATCGGCTGCCACCTCCACAAAGAAGCTGATCCGAGACTGGCGGCCGTGCGCCTTGGGCTTTGCCGACACCACTGGAGAAAGAAAGCGCGCGACTCAGCCGCTGGGGCCATCCCTCCGGCAACCATGTGGCTCTCAGGAGATGGCCAGGAATGAGGGTGCCCTTTCCATGCCAGCCCACCCCCCTTCCTGGGGAAGTTCCAGCGCTGCGCTGGCCCAAGGCGTCATGGGTCCGGAGCACTCCGGCCTGAAAACCTGAAGCCAGCGTTCACAAGGCCAAATTGCCTTGGCGGGGAAGTGGAGTGTTGCTACGGCGGCCAGGCACTGTGGCCTAGGCACGGGCCAAGTCTTCCATCTCTGGTGCCGAGCTGGGATAGGCTCCTCTTTGGGGCCCAGAAACCAGCCCAGCTGGAAACTCCAGAGGCTGGGCTGATGTTTCGGTTGCCAGAGAGGAGCCCCGCACCCCCC